CGTTTGTGAGGGGAGTGTCATACTGGGATGCCATCCTCAGTGCTGGGCCCTGCACCCCGAAAGATGAGCTGGTAACGAGGGAGGTTAAGAGGCAGCAAAGGGATCGAGGGACACAGGACACCGTCTGGGCACAGAGTAAGGATGCCTATGGGCTTTACTTCCGCAGAAAACGCCCACTGCGTGTGTCAGGTCACCACTGGCCTGGACTGTTCCCACACTGCCCAGTATACGTTGTCCTGTGTCTACACGCCACAGATTTTCAAAAGCTTCGCTGATAGCGTTCTTTGTCTTTGAGACAACCCAGCCCCTTTATTTTGTAAGCAAAAGGAAATCATACGTACTCCGTCCAGGGTCGACAGGTGCCGCCTTTCTGATCATTAAATGTCCCAACGTTACAGTCTTTGCAACCTGGCATAAAAATTTTTTAAAGCAAATAAATCAGAAAGGAAGGATTTTCGTCATTTCCTAACTCTTCGCTGTGATGAACATAATAAAGTCGTTAATTCAGTCTACACAGGTGGTTTAGCGATTCTCGGAGCCAAACCCTAAGCTGACGTAATGTATGGACGTGATGCTCCTGGTCAGTAACGAGTGTGACTTAAAATTATTTCCATGAATTGAAAAATCGTTCGTGCGCACCGTGGACTTGGCTCAGCGGCTCGCGGCTCTGAAGTTCCGCAAACCTGCGCTTTGCTCTGTGTTCTAAGGACCCAGCCGCACGCCTGCGCCGGCCGCCGGAGCTCGCCTCTGGGTCGCCCTCGCTCCTGAGCACCTTCGAGTGCAAAGGGGACGCCTCACATTGACTTTGGACTTCATTCCTTCATCTCCCCTTGCCTGGAACAATCGCCTGATTAATCTGCTTTTTATTCGGATATGTTATTTCTTTCTCTGGCTTATTAAGAGATTTTTTTTAATGTTATTGAATTTATTGGGATAACGTTGGTTAATAAAATCATATAGATTTCAGGGATACAGTTCTCCAGTGCATCATCTGCATATTGCATTGTGTTCACAGCCCCAAGTCAAGTCTCCTTCCGTCACCATTCACCCNCAGCTACCTGGCTCCGGCGCGGGGGGCCGCGTGGTGGTGGAGGTGGTACCTGGAGAGAAGTCGCCCGAAGTTGGCCCACACACCACGTCGCTCGCCTTTGTCCCGTTCACGAGGACAGTCTTCCCATCCAAAGAACAGCTTAGGCCAAGGAAAAGAGTTCGAATACTTCATTTCGATACAGATCATTGCAATGAAAAACACTGATGTTTTTCCACCCAATAAAGCAGCCTTGTCACAAAGACGTGTGGGTCTGGGTTCATGAAGTGGTGGTGGTGTTTTTAAGATTTTTTTTTTTAATACGTTTTTATTGATTTTAGAGAGAGAGGAAGGGAGAGGGAGGGAGAGAAAGACATCAACGTGAAACATCGATCGGCTGCCTCCTGCACGCCCCCCACAGGGGATCGAACTGGAAACCCGGCCGTGCGCCCTGACTAGGAATCGAACCCGTGACCTCTCGGTGCATGGGGCAGTGCTCAACCCAGCAAGCCACACCAGCCAGGACCGTGCTCCGTTTGTGAGGGGAGTGTCATACTGGGATGCCATCCTCAGTGCTGGGCCCTGCACCCCGAAAGATGAGCTGGTAACNGAGCCACACCGGCCAGGACCGTGCTGCGTTTGTGAGGGGAGTGTCATACTGGGATGCCATCCTCAGTGCTGGGCCCTGCACCCCGAAAGATGAGCTGGTAACGAGGGAGGTTAAGAGGCAGCAAAGGGATCGAGGGACACAGGACACCGTCTGGGCACAGAGTAAGGATGCCTATGGGCTTTACTTCCGCAGAAAACGCCCACTGCGTGTGTCAGGTCACCACTGGCCTGGACTGTTCCCACACTGCCCAGTATACGTTGTCCTGTGTCTACACGCCACAGATTTTCAAAAGCTTCGCTGATAGCGTTCTTTGTCTTTGAGACAACCCAGCCCCTTTATTTTGTAAGCAAAAGGAAATCATACGTACTCCGTCCAGGGTCGACAGGTGCCGCCTTTCTGATCATTAAATGTCCCAACGTTACAGTCTTTGCAACCTGGCATAAAAATTTTTTAAAGCAAATAAATCAGAAAGGAAGGATTTTCGTCATTTCCTAACTCTTCGCTGTGATGAACATAATAAAGTCGTTAATTCAGTCTACACAGGTGGTTTAGCGATTCTCGGAGCCAAACCCTAAGCTGACGTAATGTATGGACGTGATGCTCCTGGTCAGTAACGAGTGTGACTTAAAATTATTTCCATGAATTGAAAAATCGTTCGTGCGCACCGTGGACTTGGCTCAGCGGCTCGCGGCTCTGAAGTTCCGCAAACCTGCGCTTTGCTCTGTGTTCTAAGGACCCAGCCGNTGCTTACGCCCTTCACCTTTTTCACCTGGCCCCCTCCCCCTCCCTTATTAAGAGAGATTATCCTGTAGGCTATTAGCTTGGGAAATCGCCACAGTGACTCTGAGCTAAGTAAATTTTAAAAAGAAAGAAAAAAAGGGCCAAGACCTAAGCTGATGACACCTTTAGACCACAGGCCTCACTAGATTGCGGAGGAGCCCACCTACCGTCCGTGGTTAATTCCTGGCCCTGCGGACAGTCCAGCTCGCACATGGCGCACCGGGCCCCCTGGCAGCGGAACCCCGGGACGCACTCGCACTCCGCGTCGCTGGTGGCGGAGCACGCCCGCTTAGTCCTGAAGACACCTGCAAGGCCCCGAGGCACGTCACACTTGACCTCCAAACCCAGGAAGCAAATGTACGTCCTGCAGTAAAAGCCATGCTCGCTCGACTTAAAATGTTCCCCGTGACCTTAGAGTATAATGTTGACTTTTGAATCCCAATAGAAGACATTTCTAGATTTTGCTCATGAAAATCTTCTCCCTTGTCAAGTGAATGTTTCCTCTAATATTTAAAAGGCTCAATCCATACAGAATTGCTGGCACAGGAAATTACTGGACCTGCCTAGTGACAGAGGAGCCAGACCTCTGACCCTTGACTTTCGGGAGAGGTCGGGACACTGGGGAATGAAATCTTGGCTCCCCCCCCCC